GTTCGAGGCCTTAAAAGAAAATTTTAGTGCATACTCAAAGGATTTGCCTTCGGGAGAAGTTATCACCACTCCTGCCCCCGAACCGTTTTCGGTGGAAGATCCATCCGTAAACACGGTCCAGACTTTCTTTTCACTGTCTAGCGCTTCTTGGTATGAGCATTCGGCCAAGAAATCCGCTAGAGCTTGAGCCTTATTGGCAGCCCTCGGACGGTAGCTGATGTTGAATTCGGTGAGCTCAAAAGCCCACTTGGCTAGCCTACCAGATTTTTCAACCTTGCCGAGAACTTTTTCCAACGGCTGATCAGTTAAGACCACTATCTGATGGCAATCAAAATATGGCCTCAGCTTCCGAGCAGCTACTACTACCGCGAAAGCGACTTTCTCGAGTAGAGGATAGCGAGTCTCGGCATCCGTCAGTGTATGACTGACAAAATAGATCGGTTGCTGACTTTTACTTTCTTCCTTCAGCAATACTGCGCTGATGGTGGCTGGGCTAACGGCCACATATAGGTACAAAGTTTCTCCTTCAGCTGGGCTAGCCAGCGTTGGGAGTTGAGCCAGATGCTCCCGAAGCTGTTTGAAGGCGTGTTTTTGCTCTTCCTCCCAAACGAGCTCTTTTGTTTTCGGGAGCTTCAGGGCTTTGAAGAAAGGTAACCCCTTATCCGAAGCTCTGGGAATGAACCTCGAGAGGGCTGCCATTCTTCCGGTGAGCCGCTGAACATCCCGCTTCGTTTTCGGCTTAGGAAGGTCGAGCGCCGCTTGACTTTGGAGGGATTGGCATCAATCCCCCTTTTGCTGACCATGAACCCAAGGAATTTCCCTGACTTCACGCCAAAGACACACTTCTTCGGATTCAGCTTCATTTGATGCTTTCTCAAGGTGGCGAAAGTTTCAGCCAGGTCCTTTACATGGTCCTCTGGTTTTTTGCTTTTGACGATCGAATCGTCAACATAGACTTCCATGTTTCGGCCCTTTTGATCGGCAAAAACTTGATCCACCAGCCTTTGATAGGTTGCCCCCGCATTTTTCAATCCGAAGGGCATCATTTTGTAATTGTACACCCCAGCGTTCGTGACGAATGCTGTCTTTGCTCGATCGTCGGGGTGCATGAAGATCTGATGATACCCCGAGAATGCGTCCATGAAACTAAGCAAGGCATGGCCACTTGTCGAATCGACTAGCTGATCGATCCTCGGCAAGGGATAGAAATCCTTCGGACAAGCCTTATTTAGGTCCGTGAAGTCAACGCACATCCTCCAGGTACCATTGGGCTTCTGAACCATCACCATATTTGCCAGCCATTCTGGATATTGGCAAGTTTCGATGAATCCTGCCTCCATCAATTTTTTGACCTCGGCTGCGATGTCTCGGTTCTTATTGGCGGAGTAATTCCGCTTCTTTTTCTTAACTGGTCGACACGTTGGGTCAACATTAAGCTTATGGGAGATGAGGTCTGAACTTATCCCGGGCATATCAGCTGCCGAGAAAGCAAACACATCTCTGTTGTCCCGAAGGAGCTGAATAAGTTCACAACGGGTGTTCGGATCAAGGTCCATCCCGATTGTTACACATTTCTCAACGTCTCCTTCGGCCAACTCAACTGTTTCAGTCTGTTGGTCCATGTCCATTGCTGATGGACTGGACTCTTCATAATCTGGCCTGCTGCCAATGTCAGCAGGTGTCCCAGTCTTTTTGTTCTTCGGCTGACTCTCTGAGTCTTGCGGCTCAGATGAAGAGCTAGCCTTTTCCCTTTCGAGCCCTTTACCTCTGGGTACAGATCCTTGGGCCGAAGCACTTAGGCCTTTCGGCTTTTTTGTGCTTGGCTCTCTTTCTTTTTCTTTCTCCTCCTCATCCTTGTCGTCATCTGGGCGACTACTGGATGGTTTGAGGTAGTTGCACCTTCGGGCGTCCTTTTAGTTGCCCTGTATCCTTTCGAGGAAGCCGGCGTCTGAGACGTAAATCATCAGCTGATGATAAGTTGAGACGACCCCTTGGATCTCATGAATTATGGGTCTCCCCAAAATCACGTTGTACACTGAAGGAGCGTCAATGACCAAAAATTCAATCATGACGTTCCTGGCTGCCTCATCGCAGCCGATGGTGACAGGAAGTGTCACCTTCCCATCTGGATAAGTTGAAGCCCCGTTGAACCCGGATACCGGGTAGGGTACCGGCGTAAGGTGCTTGGGCTTCAGCTTAATTTGATTGTAGGCCTTTTGGAACAGAATGTTTGCTCCGCTGCCACCGTCAACAAGGACCTTACTGACGTCGTGGTTGGCCACCGTGGCGATGATCACCAACGGATCCTCGTGAGGGAACGTTATCCCCCGGCAGTCGACGGCTGTGAACGTCATGTTCGGCACCGCCGACTGGGGAGACTGAATGTCAGCGTTGTTCACCTGGTGAGTCAAAGCTCTAAGGTGTCGCTTGTGCTCCCTCCGAGAGTATATTCCTCCCGAGATAACATTGATCGGAGGGAATTTCCCCTCCGGCTTTTTACTGTTCTTCCGGGGGAAGTCGAGGTCTTGCCGAGAGTCCTTTGCTGACTTCTCGGATTCTTTTTCCTCGCGATGATCCGCGATGTATTTTTTCAAGTATCCCTTCCGGACCATGTCCTCTATCTGGTCCTTCAGTTGGATACACTCCTCAGTGTTGTGTCCCCAAGACTCGTGGAACTCGCACCACTGATTTTTATTTTTTCGCTGATACCACTCTGGGAGTGGTCTCGGCTTTCGGTAACTCTGCTCCTCCTTCGTCACGCTGTAAATTTTGGCGCGTGGAAGAGAGAGCGGAGTGTAGGACTCGTATTTGCCTGTGTATGAGGCAGATCTTTCCTTCTTTAGGTCGCTGGCCGAAGATTGCTCCGAGGCCTTTGACTTTCCCTTTGCCTTATGGCCTTGGCCTTCAGACAAGGGTATTTGTCTTTGTTTCCCTCCCCCAAATTGAGGTTGGGTTTTCGCTTTGTTCCATTCTTCGGCTCGGATGAACTTATCCGAGGCATTCAGAGCTTCCTCCAAGGTCTGCGGGGTATGCATGACCATGAAGTCTAGGAACTTTCCAGGCTGAAGGCCATTCTGCATCGCAAAAACGGCTAGCCCCTGGTCCAGCTGAGAGACGCTGGATGACTCGTTACTGAAACGGGTCAGATAGTCTCGGAGGCTTTCGGTTTCCCCCTGTTGTAGACTCATGAGTTCTGCAGTAGTCTTCTCTCGGCGGTTTGCCATGGAAAACTTGCTCCTAAATTTGGAGGACAGACCATCCCACCCTGTTATGGAGCCTTGCTTTACTCCCTTGGAGATCCACGCTTGCGCGACCCCCTTGAGAGTGGTTAAGAAATATTTGCACCAAGTCGCTTCAGATCTGGGGCAAAGATGCATATGAGTCTCATACGAGGCCACGTGATCCTTCGGATCCGAGGTCCCGTCATATGTGATGTGCGACGGTATTTTAACCGTGGGCACGCGCTCTTCCAGTATCCATTGCTCGAATGGTGAAATGGTGGGTAGCATAACGGCCTTGCCCTTGTTCCTGGCCGAAGGGACCGCGCTCCGCCCTCTTAGAGAGGTAGGAGTGGTTTTCGTCCCTGGCTGGGAAGTCTGGGCCTCGGCTGCAGGGAACGAGAGGCGACTGCACACGCTTGGTTCCTTGCCGCCGAGTCGGTCGAGGACGCTTCGGCGAACAGTCTCAGGTTCTCGGTGAGTAGATTCTGGCCGAGAAGCTGAGCTGCTGCTCTTATGCGTTTCTGGTCTTGAGGATGAGGATCCTTTTAAAAATTGAAGGTTCTTTTTCCTCTCTTTTTCATTCTTCCAGGTATCCTCTTCCCACTCTTCCAGTTCCCGGAAGGAAGGAAGCTTCCCACCATCATGGTCTAACTTCCTCCGCTGATGCCGGGTATGCGGAGGGGTTCGATCACGAGGTGGAGGCATATTTTGTGCCCTCATCGCCTCCATGAGCACTGCCAGCGCTCTTGCCACCTCTTCCGAGTTGGGCCCCGTCAAAGGGGTCCTCGGCCGAGTATGGGAATGAGGGCGCACAGCCGATGGTTGGCTTTGGGGCACTGAATGTGTCCTATGATCGGACTCACCCCTGCTAGACCGAGAGTGACTCGGCCTATGATGAGAGTCATGAATTACGGGAGAAAGGGAATCCTCCTTATATGATCCTCCCCCCGAGCTGGCACCCTTGGGAGAGTTCCGGTCCGGCGAGGGTGATGGAGTAGGGGTTTTAGGCTTTTCGCCCGCTCCTTGACGGAGGCCCTTGCTCTTGCGGTTCTTAGCCATTGCTACTAAGATAATTGCAAGATGATCTTGGTTAGAAATTTGGTTTAAAGATTTTTGAAAGTCTTCCCCACAGACGGCGCCAAATTGTTTCGGGTGAAAACAATGGGACCTTGCCGAAGGTCCGCTGAAACGGAGAAGACTAGATTCGGTCCAAGTAATGTTGGGCCGAAGGTTTCCTGCACAGTAAACACACGTAAACTAGCCTCGGGGGTGTTGCCGAGGAAGGCCCCTCCGATGCTAAAGTCAGTACAATGTGTAGAAAGAGAACACTATGCAAGAGAATTAGTTGTTTGAGGTTTTGCTTGAATATATGAGAATATATGAGAGAATATGTGAATATGTGAATATTGATGGCTTTTATACCTCTTCATACATGGAGAAGTTGGGCCTTAGCCCAATTGGCTTGCTTTGAGGGCTGACCTTTGACTTTAGCACAATTGGAGAGTTGAACCTTGACCTTGGGCTTTTAATTGGATCATTTAATGCCTAGGCCCAATTGGACTAAATTGGACCCAAACAGCAAATAATCTAGCTAAAAGAGGTCATAAAATCTCATTCATTCTCCCAAACAAAGCAATACTCAAATTATCCTCTTTAAACCACTACCCTCAACTCATCCATTTCATCCCCATTGTTGTACCTCACGTCGAGGGGCTTACCCTAGGCGCCGAGACAACCAACGATATACCCACCACGGCCACACGCCGTCTCATCGTTGCCATGGACATGACTCGCGATACAATTGACATCCATCTAGCCAATTTCAAACCCGACTTTGTTTTCTTTGACATGCCCTTGTGGGTACCCGAGTTGGCTCGAAAACACGGGTCCAAGCCAATATATTTTACCCTTCCGAGTCTTATCAACTTTGCTTACTTTAGCCTTCAGGCAAGGAACTTGCCAAATGATCATTATTTCATCGAGGCTGATCTTTGTAGGCCGCCACCCGGTTTCCCGTGCCAGGCTATTAGGCTGCACCCTCATGAGGCACGAGTCCTGGCAAGTATGTGCAATGGTGTAATACTAAGGGGAATGAGGTTTCTAGACAAACTTAGTTTTGCGATGCGAGAAACTGATGCCATTGTTACAGAGACTTGTAGGGAGATGGAAGGGGCTTATTGTGATTTTGTAGAGAAGCTTATTGGTAAGCCTGTTCTTCTAGCAGGTCCCGTTTTGTCGAAACCTGCAACTTCGAGACTAGATCACCAATTTGATTGTTGGTTAAATGGTTTTAGTCATGGCAGTGTGGTGTTTTGTGCTCTTGGTAGTGAATGTATTCTGGGTAAAGAACAGCTTCATGAACTTGTTCTCGGACTTGAGCTCACCGGTAAGCACAAAATATTAGCAAATTTAATTTATAATATCAATATATAGGGGTGTTCAAAAGTCGGTCCGGTCCAAACTAACTAGTTTGGTCTTCGGGTTGAGAGATTTATTTTTTCGGTCCGATTCAAAATGCTATAAAACAGTTTGGGGCCAGACCGATTTATTGGTTAAAATTATGCAATGCATAAAACCTTAAATAATGATTAAGATTATCCTTAATTAGCTTAGAAAACTAACGATGTCTTTTCTACTATAAAAATCGATGAATATACTTTAAAAAAAATCGTGCAAGAATGGTTATTCAAAACATGGATTAGAGACAGATAATCTAACAATTAGCCAATATAATTAGGATTGACTACAACAGATCAATCGATAAATCATAATTATTGATCTTACTAATTAATTACGGAGTATCGATGATTATTACACTAACATCAAACAAAGAATAAAAAACAAGAGACATAAAATTCTATGACCTTAACATATATTATTTAAAGACTTTATACATCTCAAACACTAAGAATGCAGCCATGTCCTCAATTATAAATGCACATGTAAAATTGAAAACAAATGCTGCTGCTGCCTCAAACAAATATTCAGGTATCAAATCCTCATAATAAATTTTTCATCCGTTTTATAATACAATATTATTTAAACTATCGTAGAATCTTAGGTGGTTGAATTGACTTTGTGAAGATATTTCTTACGAATTGTATGTGGAGTTTGTTAGCAATTTATAATTATGTAGTGCGAAAGTAGATAATAAACTAATAATCTATTTGTAATTATGTATTGCACGATAATTAAAAGAAAGTATACAATTTAGAAAAAACTAAATGAATAGTAAAAATAAATTATTGATTTAGTCATTCAAAAGATATTACTGTATAAGAATGCAAGGTTGAATTTATTTTTTATCAATATTTTTTTTAAAAGATAAGGGAGAAGGACCCTGACTGTAACTCAACCCTCACGGTTTTTTTGAGTCAGACAATTTGAGAGTGAGAGGAAAGAGTAAATGATCCTTACCCTCAAAGTGTCTATAACGGAGATTGAACCTCTAATTTCAAGATAGAAAGATACAATCTTTATCAATATACCTGTAAGATTCAATTGGTGAAATAAACAAATGGTGCATAAATTGTGAGATACGGAGTAGATGACTTTGATTCCAAATTTAATATCAAATCAACGTTTGATTATAACCTAACAAAGAGAGGAACATGATTGATGAAAATGGCCATGAATACCAATTAATTTGATATGAAAGATTGATTGTCACTTAAATTTTCCAGCTAATAGGTAGCAAATGGCACACGCGTCAAGGCAATAGCCACAAATCATGTGAAACGATTTGCTGGGCCTGTATGAATTTATTACTGGGCCCTTTGATAATTGATATACAATGCCACTGCCCACTCTTATTTTGTTTTTTTATATTTTGTACTCTTTTTGTCTCAAGTAATACGTTTTATTTTAGTCTCTTACAATCTCGAACACTCGTAATTGTCTAAAGTAACAGTCACTACAATGTTGCTGACCTTCAGAATCACAGTCGATATAAGTAGCATAAGCTCAAACTAAATTGGTGAAACATCAAATAGAGATTTGGCAATCAAAATGTCACAAAACAAAGACAACCAAATTCTAAACGTTACATTTTACCCATGGTTTGCACTAGGCCACCTTACTTCTTTTCTCCGCTTAGCCAACAAACTTGCCGAAAGAGGTCACAATGTCTCTTATTTTCTCCCACCAAAAACACAATCAAAATTAGCTTCTCACAACCACTACCCAACCCACCTTACCTTCATCCCCATCCCCGTCCCACCCGTCGAAGGCCTCCCTCCTGGGGCCGAGACAACCAACGATGTACCCGCCTCATTAGGCCCTCTCATCATGACCGCCATGGACATGACACGTGACACTATCGAGTCTCATCTAGTCCGTCTCAAACCCGATATTGTTTTTTACGACTTCACTTGTTGGATGCCCGAACTAGGCCGAAAACACGGGTTTAAAGCCATGCACTATATCACAGCATACATAGCAAGATATGCATATCTTGCACCATACAAAAAAATACCAGGATATCACCCTAATGCGGATGATCTATTGACACCACCACCAGAGTTTCCGTCACAATCAATCAGGATGCTCCCCCAAGAGGCTGAGATCATTGCGGGTGCCCTTAAGACACCATTCGGTCTAGGAGGACTAACACTAGCTGAGAGGCTAGGTGTTTCGTTTCGAGAATGCGACGCATTCGGAGTTAAGACTTGTGCGGAGATGGAAGGGGAGTATTGTAAATTTTTTGAGAAAATATTTGGTAAGCCAGTGTTACTAGCAGGGCCAATGGTACCTAAACGGCCATCTTCGGAACTTGATAATTATTTTGATGATTGGCTAAATAGTTTTCGTACGTCTAGTGTTATATATTGTGCACTTGGAAGTGAATGCGCTCTGAATTTGAACCAATTTCAAGAGCTTGTTCTTGGATTGGAGCTTACAGGTACGTTCTTTATTTAAATTTAATTTGTGATTTTGAATATTTTACTTATTATTGTTCTTATTGCTCATAAGGATATGCCATACTAGTAATATTACTGCTAGGAACAAGTGAACAAACTATGTAGTGTTGAAAAAACATATCTTGTCTAGAAAAATGAGGACATTGCATTTTTTATTCTTGATAAAACAAAGGTTTTTTTTTTTTTTTTTTTTAAGAAACTAAAGTTAGGTAAGACTTGACTATACCTATCTAAAAAAAATTAATAAGAAAATTTAGCGTCTACATCAGGATCAATGTTTAGATAATTAGCAATTTGATGGCCTATTGCTGCAACATAATTTGTTGCTCGATTGGCTTCCGAATACACATATATAGGCATATAGCATATATTTATATCTTAGATTATATATAAACATCAAACACATTTTCTAAAACGATAGGTAAGTTTGGGGATTTGCGATAAAAATACGCATAACAATGTAATTAATGTTTTTTTTTTTTTTTTTTTTTTTTTTTTTTTTTTTTTTTTGTGCATCAAATAAAAAATGAATAATTTTTTTAAGGATTTTTTTTAGGACGTATAATTAATGATTAATTGTTACTCCTTATTATTCTATTAATGTTTTCTTATTTGAACTTTATATGTAGCCTAATCTGCTATAATCATTCGTCAATGGGGTAATGGGATGTGCTTTCTTTTATATGGGACTAGGTTGGTCTTAAATGTACTTGTATAGTTGTATTGATTAGACGCTTTTAATTTAAAAAGAAGCGTTTAAAAAGATTACTGAGCATAACACATTTTTCTTTTTCTTTTTTTTAAAAAGTGTCTTATCAGCATTTTTTTTTCATTATTCATTTGACCCACTTTGAACAATGTTTGTGAATTATAATTAGTAAAAACTATAGTGTTATGAATACTTGTTGGGATCATCTCAATGAATTGATTATTAATATTCAATTATTGTAAATTTGTAATTTATACTTATTGGAAATTAAAGATATTATTGATCGAAATTCTGTATGGCATTTGTGTCAAGTTCCAATTAAGCACTTAAAAATATGTGAAACGCTAAACATCGCCCGCAATTTACCATATAAAGCCCACAAATATGATATGGTTTGACCATTATGCCCTTTTTCTAAAATTGAAATGTAAAAAATGTGGAGCCGTACTGGCTCGCTGGGGGAGACCGGAGGGCAGGCCGGAGATGCGGGGGACGCCGGAGGTACGTCGTCGTCGACGGAAAACGAGGTAAGTCACCGTTAAAATTCACGGTTTACCGTCGGAGTGGCTCCGGCGCCTAGGGTGGACGCCCAAACCGTAGCCTGGACGTCCAAGCCAGACGCTAGAACCACCAGAGTGGCGTCCAGCCCAGACGCCCAGACCACAAGACTGGCGTCCTGGGCAGACGCCACTCCACTGGGTGAGGCGGCCCTGCCAGGCGCCAGTCCAGTGGCTGTGGCAGCCCTGGCAGACGCCACCTTTAATAATTAATTTTTTTTTTCTTTTTTGATTTTGTTGTTGTTTTTTATTTAATTTTTTTGTAAAAAAAAAAATCGAAAATGATTTTTTTAAAAAATTCGAAATGGGTTTTTTTTTAAATTAAATTTGAAAATTCGAAATAGGTTTTTTTAAAATTAAATTTGAAAATTCGAAATGGTATATTTTTAAATTTAGTTTGAAAATTCGAATTGGGTTTTTATAAAAATTAAGTTTGATTATATATAATTATGTTTTTTTTTTGTGTTAATTCTGTGTAAATATAGAAATTAAATGTATTATCCGTTAAATGTATTTATTGTAATATATAATTGATGCGGGAATATGGTGGAGACGGAAATGATTACAATGGGATATTTGGACATGATGGTCCATTCGAAGAAGCTCAACAGGCGATTGATTGGGCAAAAGAGGTTGCAATTGCAGCTGGATTTTGCTTGGTAGTAGTAACTCATAAATCTCAACGGGATGGTAGAATGGATCGCATTTTGAGATGTGACCGTTATCGCAAAAGAGAAGAAAGAGATTTTCGTACAGCCACTCGGTTTGATACAAAGCGGAAAGGTTGTGGGTGTGAGTTCAGAGTAAAGGTTCGACAACTACGGAGTCGTGACGGTTGGGAAGTGATTGGTTACTCTAAATGGGGGTATCACAACCATGAGATGATAGTATATGAAGAGGGTCATCGACAACTGAGCGGCTTAAGTCCTGCTGCGAAACTAGTTGTGAAAGAAATGAGTGATGCTCAAGTGAAGCCTGCTAAAATATTAGCATCTGTGTTAGAGAAATTTCCAGAAGACCATCCAAACCGAAGACACATCTACAACGTCAGACAACAACTTAGGTTTGAACGGTCAGAGGGAAGGAACCCTATACATCAACTGCTACACCAGGCACAATCACGTGGTTACCTGTTCTGGTTTGATTCTGATGAAGATACAGCGGAGGTGACTCATCTTTTCCTTGTGCATCCTGATTGTGCTGATATGATCAAGCCTTGGCCATTTGTGATTTTGATCGACTCAACGT